ATTAACCTCTCATTCCCTCGCCTCCAGTAAAACAAACAAAGCCTAAGGTTCAAAATATAAATTTAACACTTATAATTCTGTTTTCTGAAATGTAGGGACAGAAGATGTTAAAATTATAAAAGTTAAATTACATCAAGTTAAAATTTAGAAATTGACTCTTAATGGAGCCAGATCCATAAAAACTTAAGTTGTATCAAATCAAAATTTAGGTCAAGTTTTAAGCATGGGCCCATATAAGAAATGAACTTCATTGATAATAATCTATGAATATTACTTTTCTATTTTTGTTTATTTATTTAACACTCAACAAATTCTTCCAACGTCTGTGTTTGTGTGAGATAGAGAGATGGAAGAAACGACAAATGTTTCCCTATTCCAAATCAAATCAAAGTTAATGGTTTCTTACGCTCTCTATACTTCTATAGCGACTCAATTTTGTGTGGTGGTGGTTGTCACGTACTTTGTTTTTTGGGACTGAGGTTGTCACCTGCTTTTATTTCACATCTATTTGGTAAGGCGACAATTCAGAATCAAATCAAAATATTTATGATATTTCGGATTTTAAAATTTTAAATCAGTTCTTTATGGACACTTTTTGGGGGAAAATTAATTGATAAGCATATTTTTCTTTTTTCTTTTGATGACATGATTATAAGCATATTTCTATTCACATTATAAGTTGGGAATTTCACTTGAAAAATCCTAAAAGTTGAAGCGGAAATCTTAAAAACCTCGACTGGAATATTTTTCAATTGAAAAAGTTATTTATATTAATTCTTCCAACATTTTTAACTGAATATACAAATGCTGAATTTTGAAAGAATAGTTGATAATTTGAATCTTTATGCTATGTTTGGTACTTGATTTTTAGATGGACTGTGTTTTTTAAATTTTAAGACGATGTCAGTAATTTCCAAGTCTCTTTATCTTGGAACACGTTGTATGATTATATGAATAAAAAAGAAGCCATATTATTTACGAGTTATATTATATAAAGAAAATTGATAAATATGAGAAATGAGTCTTATATTTAGGATCAAAACCAACTAGAGAATTAGGTCCTATATTAAGGATATGAGGAATATTCTATATGCTATTGATATTAATTTTACTATATTCTCATCATTCTAATTTATTCAGTGAGCCGAATTGGTTTATATGATATAATTGCATCACTTTTATTCTTCTAGTTTATTCCATGGGAATTTCTCCAACTCTGTTCATTGATGCCCCTCCACTAAAAATTATTAACCCCACTAAGGCAAATGGCAACTAAAAAGTCTTCGAAAATGTTAAAAAAGGAATCAAGGAAAAGATCATGTGGGCCGGGCAGGCACTTTAAATCTCTTGTGCATCTTCGGTCTACCTATTTTTCTCTCGTGTGGAAACATAAATGATAATTCCCCCTATTTTTAATATATGATTTTGATTTTGATTTTAAATATAAGATCTTATTTTATTTAAAAAATATAAGATCCTATAATAATAATTCTACTCAATACATTTGATTAATAATGATATTTTAAGAAAGACAACACTTATTTATTACAAATAACTAACTTAACTAGTTTTATTAATCTACTTAAATTAATTAACTAGCTCTTATATTAAGGATTGAAAGTAGTATATATTTGTACCCAAAAAATGATATATATATATATATGGTGTCAAATATTTACATGAGATTTAGATTGTTGAATCATACACATATTTGTTTACATTTTAAATGCATTTTTTTAAACTCAATTTCTCATCCTCATACACATCTTTTAGTTGTAAACGCAGGAGCTGACCTGTAGTCATACGAATTATAAAAATTAATTAAATTAGTTATTTATAAAAATATATACTATTTTTTTAAATATTTATTTCAATTTTTGCCAATGTATTTATTTAAATTATCTGTGTTACAAATTAATGAAATTTTTTTAAATATGTGCGTTCAATAAGGAGATTTTTTTAAAAAATATTGTTAATATGGGAAACAATGTATATTCATCTCACATTTACTACCAAAACAAACTCATTTATTAGCTCTTATATATTAAACATGCCCAAGTATAAAACAAATTTGATTGGGACTTTGGTTAAAAAAAAATCGACCTTTTATTCTTGTGAAATTTAATCTCTTTTTTTTCTGGAAAAATAATATAAAATTGAAAAATAAAAAATAAAAGGAAATTGATGCTATTCAAATCTAAGCATATTTCGATGGTGAAATTATTTTACTATTCGTTTGCACAACTCATCACTTCAGTCGCAGGGGTGAGAAGATTCTACGGCGCACTCATTTAAATATGGATTTACATTGGGTGCTTATCAGTCTTGATAAGCACCTAATGGTCCAGATTTATTTTTATTTTTTAAAAATAATTATTTTAATATGTATAGGATAAAAAATAAAGATAATCTTTAACTATCATTTTTTAAAAATATAATTTTTTTTATTTTAAAATAATTATTTAATAATATTAAATGTGGATATAGATTAGATTTGGACGGTCCAGATTGGTCATTAGGTGATGAGCATTGAGTGCTCATCACCTGATGACCACCGAATGGGGACCCTTTAAATATGACATATCCCAAACTCCATTTCCATATTTAGGAATTGATGGGTCCAAATTACACTTGCCTAAATTTATGCCAAACATTTTTTACCAAAAAAGAATAAAAGCGTGCCCTTACATTGGAAAAATAAACAAATAGAGCTGTTATTTTTGCATAAAAGATCACTAAAACGACGATTTAAGAAAAATGGAGAGTACAAGCGTGGCTGACTTGACTGTGTCTAGAAGAGAACACATGTAAGAACACTAAGCTGCCAAAATTGATTTTGCGAGCAACGTAACAAGTGAAAAGGATTAAGAATAGGGACTTAAATTGGGCAACTTAGTAAGTGGAGACACACCTAATCATGAGCTTGACAAAACAAGGGTCAACAGTTTTCCTAAATCACTTACAACTCTTTTTGTATTATTAATGGATATATTAAATTGATAAAAATTTTAAATTTATTTTTGTTAAATTTGTTTTCTTTATCTATATTTTACTCTCTTTTTAACGAGAATTAAATATAAATAAAATTGAAAATCAATTATTAAATACTTATATTCAAGACAAAAAAATTCTCCCTACGAATAACTATAGTAAAAGATTTGGAAATTGAAACCTGACTTATATCAAATGTAAATTACTCAAAAATGTTGAAAATTGAACGTTTAGTGCAGAAGAAGAAAATGAGATGAAACATAGAAGAGAAAAATAGATAAAAACAAATTATACGGGGAGAGAGAGAGAGAGAGAGATGTAGAGTAAACCACCTATGTTGTTGGCTAACATAGGTGCCAATGAGTTCATGCAACATGTTCATTAAATGTAAAATGACACCAAAATCATGCTAGAGCCACCGCTACACCGCGGGAATATAATGAGGCAAGGCTTGTCTACTAATTTAATTTTATAGGCCCCGTTGTTTATTTGGATGGCTTTCACCTGTTTATAAATATTTATTAATAATTCTATGTAAATTATGTTAAAAATACTCTCAACAAAAGTTATTAATTAGAAAAGTTTGTTCAATCTGTCAAAAAATTTATAGCTAGGCAGGTATACCCCTTTGATCTTATTTATTTATACATATACTCCTTCCATCCTATATAAACAACAACTATCATCTCTTTCTTATCCCTAAATATAAGTAATACTACATCTGGTCTTTAATATATGATCTTATTTGATTTTTATTTTGATTCTAAATATAAGACCCCAATCCACTTTATCTATCATATTTATAAATTTTTTCAAGGTAATCCTTCTAATAATAGTAGTTCTAGCTAATCTATTTGATTAGTAAGGATATTTTAGGAAAGACAATACCTATTTGTTACAAATAACTAATTTAATTTTTTTTCTTAATCTCCTCAAATTAGTTAACTAGCTCTTATAATTAGGACTAGAGGCAGTATTTGTAAGTTGTGTTAAATTTTTATGACAAATTTTTTATTTTGTCCCAATTAATTACTTATTTTAATATTGAATATATTTATTATCTTATTTTCTAAACCATCATCTTTCCATCATGCTTTCTTTCTCTTCTATAGTTCTCTTTATTTTAATAATTTTCTTATTCTTTTTCTTATACTCTCTCCTCCCCATACATAAGGGTATTTTAGAAAAAAAATTTCTAATTTCTACACATTTATTATCTTTAATTAATTTTAACTAATATTTTGATTTATGTGATGAGATCCAATATTGTCGATAAAAAGGGACGAGGGAGTATTAAATAATAAAAAAGTAAAAAATTTATTAAATTTTAAGAAAAATTAACGAGGCTCAAGATGTTTTTGAAAGTAAATTGTACTAAGGGGGTGTTTGGGTGATTACCCACCAAACTATGGTTTGGGAAAAAATTACCCAAACACCATAGAAAAAACCAAAATCATGGTTTTGGCAGAAGCAGAAATTTTTGCTTTTAGAGGGAAAAAAAAGAGTATAAAAACTTATGGGATATGTGTCTTGTTGTTTTTAGAATAAAATAATATTTTTCTGTTGGTAAAAAATATTCATTTTTTACAAAAAAAATTTAATCTCATAATTTATAAATATATATACACATGTTAATTATTTATTAATTATATTATCTTATATATTATTAATTATGTTAGTAAAAATTATTTTGTTAACAATTTTATTCTTTCAAATTAAAATATATTATAAAATCTATCTTTTATATAATTATCATATTAACTTATGCCCTTTTTAGTAATTTGTACATATAAAAAGTGTTTCTAGTAACAACTATCCAAACACTCTTACTTCTCAGAATCACTTTTTTACAAAATCTATTCTTCAAAAAATCTATTCTTCTCAGAATCTATTCTCCAAACCATGATTTGGTTACACCCAAACACCCCCTAAGTTTCAATCAAAATATTTCAGTAAAAATATTTCTTCTTGCCAACTTCAGTAATAATCTCAGCATTTTCATGGAATGATTATAGCGATGCATGAAATGAAATGAACAAGAGAAACGTGTCTTCTTCAATAACTTTATGGTAAATCGCGAGTTGTTCCAGGAGGTAGCAGTATTTTTCTGGTAGGTCCCGCCACTCACAAAAAGCCGACCCATTTCTGCATTCTCTGCTCTTCCTAATCTATGATGATCGTTTATAAATTTGGAGCCCTCGCTCCCCAACACAAAAGGCCTTTTCTTTTTAATCCCATTAAAATATTGTTTTGACTTCAAACTAGCAAACTTGAGTGGCATTTCTCCGGTTTTTCGCTTTATTTTTGACTCCGAAGTTTTTTCCACTAGTTTTTGAACTCCGGCGATGCCTACGCCGGTCGGAGTAGCCAAGCAATGCTTGACGCCGGATGCATCTCGAGCTCTCGAAGAAGCCGTCTCCGTGGCGCGCCGTCGTGGGCACCCCCAGACCACCTCGCTCCATGCTGTCTCCGCCTTGCTTTCGTTGCCGTCGTCTACCTTACGTGACGCGTGTGCTCGTGCCCGGAGCTGTGCCTACTCGCCTCGGCTTCAATTCAAGGCGCTAGAGCTGTGCCTGAGCGTATCGCTCGACCGGGTCCCCTCGACTCAACTCGCTGACGACCCGCCAGTCTCTAACTCGCTCATGGCCGCCATCAGGCGCTCCCAGGCTAGTCAGAGAAGGCAGCCTGAGAATTTCCACATTTACCATCAAATCTCGCAGCAGCCTACTTCGGTTTCGTGTGTGAAGGTCGAGCTTCAACATTTGATATTATCGATTCTCGACGACCCCGTCGTGAGCCGGGTATTCGGCGAAGCGGGTTTTCGAAGCTCCGAAATTAAACTTGCTATTCTTCGACCTCTCCCGCAGCTTCTCAGGTACTCACGCTCCAGAGTTCCCCCTATATTCCTGTGCAATTTGACGGAGCATCCGGACCCGGGTCGTCGGAGCTTCAGTTTCCCGTTTCCCGGTTCTTTCGGGACGTGCGACGGCGGCGCTGAGAACTACAAAAGAATCGGAGACTTGCTTTGCAGGAGCAGAGGGAGGAATCCCCTGCTTCTGGGTGTATGCGCAGATGATGCTCTGCGTAGTTTCACAGAAGATGTTAATAAACAAAGAGATGGTATTTTGCCAGTGGAGTTATCCGGATTGCGCGTGACATGCATAGGAACAGATATTTCCAAGTTTGTCCTTGAGAATAGTGATAACGAGACTTTCAGTTCAAGGCTTAAGGAGATTGCTCAAATGATAGAACAGGGAGTGGGACCTGGTTTGGTGGCGAATTTTGGGGACCTGAAGTCTTTGGTTGATGAGAATGCCTCAAATGAAGCAGTGAATTATGTTGTTGCTGAATTAGCGAAATTGTTGGAGCTTAATTATGGCAAGTTTTGGTTGATGGGAGCTGCGGCGAGCTATGAGAGCTATCTGAAATTTATGGGAAGGTTTCCATCTATTGAGAAGGATTGGGACTTGCAGCTTCTGCCTATCACGTCTACTCGGCCTCAGGATGAATCGCCTAGGCACAGGTAAGTGACCTTATGTAATTAAAAGAGGTTTATATCTGGTTCTGTTATCACCCCCGTGAACTGTAAAATTGTGACCCGATTGGTTTGTTGGCCGTACCCCTGTTTCTTTTGTTTTTCTTGCCGACAGTTGTGAAATTCGATATTTGTTCATCTTTAGTATTTGGTTCGATGCTTGTGACATGGTCTTTTATGTCTGTTGTGCTGTTTGTCTTTTAGCTGTTAAGTTGATCGATTGCCCATGAATATGCTTAAAATATGTGTGTGTCTGTGTTAGAGGCTTTTCTAGTTTCGTCTTCTGTAGGTTGTGACTGAAATTATGTAAACAGTCCCTCCGCTCTTTAATATAAAAGTTTGTTTAACTTTTATTTTGGTCCTAAATATAATACCCTAATCAATTTTGTTTCTCATATTTATTCATTTTTTTTTTCAAAGATAATTTTTATAATAATAGTAGTTCTAGCCAATACATTTGTCTACCAAGGATATTTTAAGAAAGACAACACCTATTTATTACAAATAACCAACTCAACTAATTTTCTTAATCTACTCAAATTAATCAACTAACTCTCGTGTTGAGACCAGAGGTGGTACTAAATAATACAAAATACCTCAACTTTGTTCCTTGACGAGTTACCTTCGTGCTTAATGGATTGCTACTCATTTCACACTACGCTTTTAAGTTGTTAGAATATTGCTACCTCTTGTATTTAATATAAAACCTAGTTGACTAATTTGGAGAGATTAAGAAAGTTACTAAATTACTTAATTATAACACATGTTATATGATCTTTTTAAAATACTTATGTATATTATTATATTATACTACCTTTGGTCCTAATTATAAGACCTCGTTTGTAGTCTACAAACGAGGTCTTATAATTAGGACTTGAGGTATTATATCATTTTATAAATGAATCAAATTAATGGAGAAAAATGACAAATATAAACATTTTAAAATAATTTAGTAATTTATTTAATCTTCCCAAATAAATCAACTGGGTTTAGTATTAAAAACCAGAGGTACTAATTAGTAAAATCAATGATAATTGTTGCATTGCTATTGAATAGACCTTTTATGAGAACTAAGGGTATTTTGGTTTCCGATAACTAATATGTTTACGGTTAGAAAGGTTGTCATCCCTGTCTATTGAAAAGATAACCTGTGCTGTAAACTTTTGCTTCTTTCTCAGAGTAAAATGTTTTGCATAAATCTTGCCTGAGATGCTTTTTTGATCATGTTATTTCAGCTTAATGGATTCATTTGTCCCATTTGGCGGCTTGTTTTCTTCACCTTCTAATTTGAAAGGTCCGCTACACGGCTCATATTATTGTGTTCCCCGTTGCCTGCAATGTGGTGGAAGTTGTGTGCAAGAAGTGCTTCCAGCTTCAAATGAGAGGCTGTCTGCTGATCCTTACCAATCTAATTTACCTCCATGGTTAGGGACTGCTGACCTTGGCATAACAAAAGGGTTGAATGGTAAGGTATGTAGCACTCATGAGCTTTTTCTGGTTTTTTTTTTTTTTCCAAGGCACTCTCCAACCGACAGAAAGGGAAGAAGAAGAAATAACCAAGGATCTTGGATCTTGGTCCTGTGATCTCACGTATCATAATATATTGGATATTAGAATTTGATGACAATATTTTGGTTTGCAGTTATGTTATAACAAGGTGGCATATGAGATAATACCCTGCTCACATTTCAGCAAAAAGAGTGTTATGTCTATTTTGTTTATAAAATATATTGTGTGAAAAATAATACATAAATATTTTAATGAAATACTTGAATTTTGAAGATTCGGGGAGGAAGAAATACTGATTAACACATAGAACCAGACATCCTTAGATCCCCACATATAAGATGCTACTAATTGTCATACTATACACATGTATTATGAATTCCATGATATCTTATACCATGCCGTGTCATACCATAATACGCAAGATATCATAGTACTCTTCCGGTCCTAAATATAAGACCCTTATAGAGTATATAAGGGTCTTATATTTAGGACCGGAGGAGTATCTAAGGTTAAAAAAAATACCAAGTGCCTCCTACCTAGTTCAATGAAAAGCTTAGTTGAGGTAATGGACCAATTTTTATTGTCTTGAATGGATTTATTTGGACTTTCTGGTTATCATTTCTTTCTCTTTACTTTCCCTGCCACCTAAAAACTTGCTTGTACTTTGCACAGTTGTAGCAGACACTAAGGATTGTGTGGTTCTAGAAAAGACAAATCTTTTTACAAGAAGTTTTATCCTGTTATGGATCGCATCTTGCCATTGCGTTTTGCTAGATGCATACTCACTCTTCAAATATGTCATTCATCTAGAGACCATGTTCGATAACTTTCTTGAGTGTCCATTTTGATTAAAAGACGAACTTTTTCTGAGGCTACAAGATATGCTTGTAATCTGTATCTTAAAGACCTTAAGAACATAGTTAACATCCCTTTTTGATGATTGACTTGGCAAGCCGAGTCATGTCAGATTAATGTCAGGTTGTTGAACCTTTGTTTTTGTTCCAAAGGTGCAATACGAGAAATTGTAGGATAAAAAAAAATGACAATTACAATTCTGCTTCTTTTTTTTGGTGTGAAAATCACTTTTCTTCTGTTCAGTGCAGACAAAAGAAGACAGTGTTCGGCTGGATACTAGTGAATCTGGACCTATCAAGAAATTGGACAAGCCAAGCCAGCATCTGCATGATACTCAGCAATTCCCTGAAGCGATTCCTTGTCAAACTGTCATGAGTTCCCGATGCTCTGATGGTGAAAAGGAAGATGTTGACAATCACAGCAGAAAAATTTCAGATGCATCACCTAGCGTGTACATCGATCTCAATTCGAGTGCGCCCATCGCAGAGCAGATGATTTCTACAACACATTCAAGTAGTCCTGTTCCTGTGGTTTCGAAATCAGATCAGGATAACCCTATTGCAAAAGCCGTAGAGATACTCCAGAAAACGAAAGATCTTGACTCAGGTGACCTAGGATCATGCAACATGTCCAATTCAAGCATGTGTGATGGTGGCCAATTGTCTCCCTCGTCTGTGACTTCTGTAACCACAGATCTAGGTATAGGAATTTCCTTTTCTCCTACAAGCAACAAATCTAAAAACCCAACCATGGGGGGTCTAAAGGAAATTGCGAGTCCCCTCTCTTCAAGCTATAATTTAGTTAACAGGGATGTCTTTAAGCATCCAGCCCAGTCTTCATCCTGCTTAAGTTCTGACCATTCTGGACGACATGATCTAATAAATCCTAAAATTCTTCTTGAAGCTCTTGCCAAAAAGGTTACCTGGCAGGTTGAAGCCTTACAAAGCATTGTAAAAGCAATAGCTTACAGTGAAACAAGCAGGGGCAAATGCCTAGGAGCAAATCAACGAGGGGCCATATGGATGAATTTTGTAGGAACTGACAGGATTGGTAAAAAGAAAATTGCTGTTTCTTTGGCTGAGATTTTGTATGGAAGCCAGGAAAGCTTTATTTTTGTTGATCTCAATCGTGAGGAAATAAATGGACATGATGCGAAATTTAGAGGAAAGACTATTCTCGATGTTTTAGTTGGGGAGTTGTGCAAAAATCCGTTGTCTGTTGTTTTCCTTGACAATGTAGACATGGCTGATATGATGGTTCAAAATAGTTTATCTCAAGCCATCAAGACTGGAAAAATTATAGACTCGTGTGGGAGAGAAGTTGGTGCAAACAATGCGATAATTGTGACATCTTTCTCAGTTCAAGAAGATCAATGGAATTGCAGGCCAAAGACAGAATTCTCAGGCTATTCTGAGGAAAGAATATCAAGAACAAAAGGGGCACCTATCAAGATAAAAGTTGAACATGTAATTGGAGACACCAGAAGCCCAAGCCTTACTGTACTTAAATGTTCAACAGATGGCGTTCCCAATCCAATCCCTGTAAATAAAAGAAAGCTGAGTTGCGACAATGCCCTTAATGATCAGCACAAAACCTCAGAAATGGCTAAAAGGGCTCACAAAATTTCAAACTGTTTTCTAGATTTGAATGCCCCAGCAGAAGAGAACGAACTGCAATTCACGGATGATGGAAAACCTGAAGGTGTCTCAACTGCCACGCTAAACCCCTGGTTGCAAGAACTGTATAATCAGGTTGATGAAACAATCATCTTGAAACCATATAATTTTGATGCACTTGCAGATAGGGTCTTAAACATTATCAGAAGGAGCTTCCACAGCATTCTCGGATCTGAGTGCTCACTACAGATAGAGTCAGAAGTCATGGAACAGTTACTTGCAGCTGCATATGTCTCAGAACGGGACATGGAAGTTGAGGATTGGGTGGAGCAAGTTCTCACTGGAGGATTTACAGAGATACAGCAAAGGTACAGCCTCTCTGCTCGTTCTATTGTGAAACTTGCTACATGTCAGGAGCAGGCTCCTGGTGTGAGCCTTCTTCCACCAAGGATAATCGTAGACTGAGCCCGTCCAAGAAGCTGTTCTTTCATATTTTAATGTATAATTTAGCGTATAGTGCACCTATTTTAGGCTTCCAATCCCCATTGTTTTATTTGGGTTTCTTTGTCTAGGTTAAGATTGTATGATATGTAATCTACAGCTAGTGCTTGCGTGATTACCCTTGCATATTAGTTTTAAAATCAAAATTAGCTGGGGTTGCTTGATGTATTATTAATAAATAAACTGGTGTTTGATCAACAGAGCTTTCTAGTTTTACATTTCGTTATATGAAATATTGAAATTTCACCAAATGGCACCAAGAAAGGAGAAAGTATTTAGAAGGTGGCTTTGGCAACAGTTTATGACATATTTCGTCAGTCAGGCATTTTCTTTTTCCTTGTATGTTAAAAAAGGGAAAAACAAAATCATTGGTTCATACGTTTGCTGCAAATTATTTAATCAACATATGTAGCTTTCTTCTCTCCCTCGAGTAAGGCCCTCGAGATGTGGATGTTGCAGTAATTGTGGGAATTTCTATTATTTTCCAATTTCTAATATATTCGAGCCCAAAAGCGGTCTAATTGTTTCGACCAAAAAACTAGATATAAAAGAGAAGAGGAAGTAAAGAAATCCTTATGCCAAGAAACAGCATAGGCATCAATAACAGGGACTGAGTGAGATGCGGAGATCTAGTGGTGTCCGTATTTGACCTGCTCAACCTGCAATTGAGCCTGAGCTCTGAAGGGATCCGGGCATGGCATCCGCTAGTCCGAGCCCACTCAATGATAAAAAGATGGTTAAGGACTTGACCAGGTACCCTCACTTACGGTAACCTTCTCCTTTTCTCTTAAAACCATAACTTTCATTGCTTATGTGCTCATTTATTTTAATCTTAATGCATGGCTTAGCTTCTTGTTTTCAGATGTCAACAACTTCGATGCACTCCTGGAAGTTCATAATCTATGTTCTGGATGATGTCAAAAGGAAAAGTTCATGATCCAGGTCAGCAGGTGGCATTTAATCAATTGTTCTTTTTAAAAAAATTAAATTCAACCTATTTGTTTCGTCTCAAAACCAGTAAATATGCTCTAACGAATCTCTCGGTGTTTAGGGTCCCCTAGTCTGAGCATTGAAGGTGCGGACCATAGTAAAGCACCGAAAAATTCTTTGTACTGTCCTCCGATGTTAACTGACTGCATGATTACAAGATGGAATATTTACTTCCCAGCAGAAAAAGGGAAGCTTGTGCTTTGCATGGACTTCCAAATGAATCATGGGATGAATCATAGAGGATGGCTTTCATTGGGTACTGTTCATAGTGATTGCTGGGTGCTCTCAATGGCCTTATGGTTTTGTGTCTCACTTAGTTAGAACAACAGGAATGAAATTACCAATAAGAGTTGATTCAGTTGGTAAGAAGTTGACACATAACCCACAAGACCATGAGTTTGAATCCTGCTACCAATGTAAGGATCTGGTTGGTAGGTGATCTGTAAGTATTTCTATAAGCGCTTTTTGAACATGGAAATATGTCTTAACCCTGATGAGTTCTCAAGACCTAACTCAACTAAACTTTTTCATACAAAAAAAACACGGATGAAATCAGGACTTTCTTGCTACTGTTACTCCATTATTAACCAAAATGTAAGGAGTATATGCCACTCTTCTTTGGGATTTAGTATTGGTTATTCGTATATCTTCCTTCAGTTACCTTCAAATTTATACATACTAAGAAAAGTGGTTAAATATTAGCTAAAACATTGGAGTTATATTCTTATTAATTGTATTAAATCTTTCCGTCATATTAATTCATGCTTTCCACTACTCTTGCTTGGTAGTTCCTAATGTAGGGTATATATACAAAAAAATTATTTATGCTCTGCGTATCATCCAACCCCTCCCCCTTGTGGGGAGCAGGGGGTGTTCATCCTCATGATATTAAGCAGAAGGACCGTGTAAAGACTGACGAATTTAACATATTATGCCTTGCAATTTCGACTGAAACACGATTAATCTCTTGTTATGGAATGCAGGCTCACGCTTGGAGCTCCACTTCTCTGCATCCTATGCAGAAGATTAGCCCAGAGCAGAAACAATGGATTGAACCACAAGAATCTGAGACAATTGAATTTGAAAGACTTGTGAATGAAGGGATTCTTAGCCACCATTCAATTATGTTGCAGTGGAAAGAGGGACTTGACATCTCAATCAAAAGCATTGGATTGAATGGAATTACCTTTACTGGTGAAAGAATCGCGGTGGGACATGGCTGATCAGCTCATGAAAACAACCGGTCCTTGCATTCCAAATTCCCCATAGGTTATCCAACAAAGATAAATTCAAGAATCATGATAGGCATCTCTCTCTCTCTGTGTATCTCAAAAGTGGAAAAGCCAGCTAATGACGTTATGTTTTTTATTGAACAGCACCCTAACAAGCAAATATGAAACAACGTACTGATCTTGTCAGGTTCTTTTCTCTGAATTTTGATTAACATCAGATCAACAGTGATTAAGCTTTGAAAAATTGAATGTACCACCCATAACCAATGGATAACGGGGTCGTCCGTAATAATAAGTAATTCTCATAAAAATATATTGTTATTTACAAATTCAGTATTATCAAAACTTATTAAATTGTTATATTCAAATTTGACTTGATCTTTAGTAATTTTAAACTTTTTTTTTCCTTATATTGTCCCATAAACTTAATTATTTGGCTTATAAAATCTGGTGGGTCAAATCTTGCTATGCCCTTTACATGCGCGTGTATATATCAACGATTGGAGATATTTCTGTGGAAAGAATGATTTTTTCCCCCAGAAAATAAAAAAAAAGAGTGGCGTAAGAGTGGGTGTTTGTGGAATTGTGGTAAGAGATGGGGTCGGTGTGATATATCTGGGGGTGCCGACGCTGGGGTGATGGGCAGTGACAGGCTGGGCAATAAAAATTGGAAGGAATTAGAAAGAAATTAAAAACGTGATAATTATAATTCCACAATCAGCGCACGTGTCCTTGGACTCTGCGTGTTCCACACAACACAATGCCAATTCAATTCCCATCACTCTTTTGAAATGCGTCTTCCGACTTCATCCCTTTCACGCCACTCATCTTTCCGGTGATCTGCCTTTAAAAGAGATTTTAAAGTATACAAAATAAAACATGAAGTAGTTTGCCTCAATTTAAAAAAAAAAGATAAATAAAAGTATTTTTGGATGTTTCAAACACTTATGAGTCACATCCCATCTTGTCTCTAATCCTATTTATAAGATGTCGTGTGATACTTAATATAAGAGCTCATTAACTAATTTAAATAACTTAAAAAAATTAGTTAAGTTAATTATTTATAATAAATAGATGTGATCTTTTTAATATCCTTGCCAAATATATTAGTTTTAACATTTGATGAAATATTTAACATGTATAACTACTATAAGGACTATCTTTAAACAAATAAATAAATATAAGAGACAAAGTATATTGATATCTTATATTTAACATCAAACTAAAAGTCAAACTAATTCCTATACTACCTGTGATCCTGAATATAAAAACTAGTTGACTAATTTGAGTAAATTAAAGAAATAGGTTAAGTTAGTTATTTGTAATAAATAAGTATTGTCTTTCCTAAAATATCCTTGCTAATCAAGTTTATTAACTAGAACTATCATTATTAGAAGGACTATTTTGAAAAAAATGAATAAATATGAGAGATAAAATAGATTGGAATTTCATATTTAGAACTAGAATAAAATTCAAATGAGATCTTATATTAAAGATAAAAAATAGTATTAAGAATTAGAGGTAGTATTTGACTAAGTTTAATTACTTTTCTTAGCCCATAAAAAGATTTTTATATATGAATAGATAGAAGAGGGGTGTGCGTATGCACACACATATACACAAAACAATTAGGAAAATCTATACAAAACAGTTAGGGATAACTGCAATGAAATTGTAAATAAGAAATATAATTATTAAAAAATGTTAATAACAACAAAACAGCGTGCAATATACTCCTTACTTGTTATTAAAACTTACTAGTAATTACTTTCTTTCTTAGGGCCTCGTTACAATCCTCCCAAACAATTAAACAAATAAGAGAAAAAACCCAATGATGAATAACTATAGAAACATATTATCCAGATTAGGAAAATTTTCAAAAAAAAAAAATTATAGTTGAATTTTCAAAATTTGAAAAGGTCACCTAAATTTGCAAAGTTTTAAATCAGTCATAATGACAAAATTAAAATTTTAAAATGTTGATAAATTAATAATATTATTCTTTAATTTTGAAAAAAGAAACCTCAAGTCATCTTCATAGACCGATAAATATTGGTGTTACAGTTCTAACTCTAGCGGGCCACAATCTTTTTTATTCAACTTTTAATCTTTTTTATTCAATTTTTTAATATTGATAACGCGATTGACAACTATTATAACAATATTCACTTTATGTGATATGTTTTTAAACTTAAAAAAATTAAATTAGTGAATGCCTAACCTTAGCTATTAGGCCTAACAAAGCTTAAATATGATCCCGAAATACCATACCTCTCTCACACACACAATGAATTAGACAAGAGCATGGTTTTTTTTTTGGGGGGGGGGGGAGGTTTAATTAATTTCACATATAGACAATAACAGAAATTAGGCTTTGTGAATCAACGTCTCAATCAGGGAGTGATAATATCAGAAGGCTCTACATTTTTTTTTTTTTGTGAATATAGATTATTCATAGGGCTCTTTTCAGGTCTCACTGGCAAATCTCCCATCAAACGACAAGCATCACCCCTTTCTACTTCATAACCTTCACCTTTCATATTTACATTCATAGCTTTTCCAATTATAAATCTCATTCCACCAACATCGCTATCCCATCCCCATCACCACGCCTTTCAATTTCATATGTCTTTTTATTTTTAATTCTTTTTTAAAAACTGTTCATACAAGTGGAGCCTATCCACATCCACAAATTAAAAAAAAAAAAAAAGCAAACAAACAAATATTAATGTAAAATTTGCTTTAATTACGTTCGTTGGATTATTTATTATACTCATGTTATGTGATTGTGATTACGATGTCAAACTACCATTCAGATTCAGATGTCGCCGGAAATTTGAATAAAGAAGAGTTTCAAACCAACTAAACTACCATACGTGTCAATTATTGAGCAATTCAAATGCTTTCCAATTAATAAATACTACTCCTCCTGTCCTTAATGTAAGACCCATTTAACTAATTTGATTAAATTAAGAAAGTTAGGTAAGTAGTTAATTATAAGAAAGTGACACATTTTTCCTAAAACACCATAATCATCTTTTTTAATACCTCATCTCCCTCTTCTATTGATTATGGTTGAGGGAGTGTTTATAGGGTAATTTAGAGAAATTGATAATATGATAAATGGGTCTTATATTTAGGACCAAAACCAACTCAAGAATGGGTCTTATATTAAAGACCGGAGGAGTAGTAAGCTCTGAATTAGTGTAATGTGACTCACAACTTCCACTATGAGACAAGAGCTAGTGATTTGCCTTTGCCTTTTGAATTGATTTGGAGGACAAGTCACTAATTAAAAGCCGCACAGTAACAGTCACGTGCGTGATATAATGAAATTATTAATTAAATGATCCTTTGATTGAACATGCATGTTATTTAATTAATACTGACATCAATCTTTTTTCCTTTCTCTCTCTTATTAACAAATCCTAATAAACAGTTGATATTATTGACTTAGTTAAACCATGATTATTGTTTATAAATTATAAATATGTCATCAACGCACACTTGTTTCGACAGGTATACACTTCACTTTTCAATAATACTTTTCTGATCATTTTTATAGGACGGAGAGAAGAAAATTTTTGATTTTATTTATAGGATAGATAGAGAAAAATTTTATATGAGTGTATAATTTTACTCTTTATTTATTATTATGTTCACTTTATTCTCACGAAATATATTATATATTAAATATGAACAAAGTTAAAAAGTTATTGAATTTTAAATGTAAGTTAATGAAGTTTAAGTTTTTTATTAATCTATGTGAAACATGTTAGAAGTGACTTATAAATAAGATCGGAGAAATATAATCCTATTCATATATACACTATACAAATACATATATTGCATGCTTATCCTCCAGATCGTGACGTTTCGTAATATTTATTGAGTTCGATACTGCAGATGATGATTGATTAATCACATAATAAAATATGATATATATGTGTCAATGTGTGTGTGTGTTCACACACTCACACCCTTGAGAAATATGATATACTTTTGACCCAAAAAATGTTCTCTCTCTCCCTTGGGAGGGTAAAATTTGTGTCTGTATAAAGAAATTATTGGCACTTTGATCCTTTGAAATTATAGAGGGATTCAAACGTCATTCTATTGTGAAATTGTTGTGCTGTTTGGTAATGAGCTGTTTGTTGGAGATTGATTTGTAATTTGGATTTAATTCTTATATGTCATAATCATAATAATTTTTGTTACTCATGCCCGTGATGATCCATCATCAATTTTAATGCCATATAATTAGTTGTTCTTTGAACCTGAAAGAGCAATATATAAAGCTAATTGCCATGTTTAATTAACAGGAAATTATATATATAACCATGCGTTAGAGCTGTGTGGGGACAAAAAACCACGATACCTTTATTAAAATAATAGGCGGTGTCCATATAATTAAATTCTTCCCTGTACAAACCAGAGCGGAAAAGAAGAGACTGCACTTGAAAATAAAATCTAAATTAAATATGACCTGTGAATAATATTCTGCTAACCTTAATTATGTGCATTTTATGATCAAAGAAAAATATCACTGTGGGTGAATTAATACAAAATGCAAGGGACTTTCGCTTGAGATGGGATC